ATATATATATATATATATATAGGAATAACATTGTAATACAATATTACGGGACAGACTACCTTCGGAAGCATGGTTCTGAAATTCGTACAAATGGATAATTTTTTTATATTTAGTATCAGTTGAATTAGAATATACATATAAAATTGCTTTAAAAATATTATTACGATTTTTTTTTTGCAAAAAAGAAAGAAAAATGACATTTTCAAAACCTTTTCTTTTTATGAAAAATGCTTTTATTTTTAGTAACATATTTTTAATAATATATAGAACAGTGTTTCTCAAACTGTGGGGCATGCCCTCGTAGGGAGGCGGGATAGGAGCGAAAGTATATCTAAAAGTTGATAATAAAGCATTATTTAAAAAAGATTATTAATTTACTAAAGGGAATCCAAACCACATTGTGACATAATAAAAAATAAAATACACATTTACATTAATATAATACACTTATAAATGTATCAATACTGCGCAGTGTATTTAATAATTAATTTATCAATACTATAAGGTAAGAACAAGTTTAATAATTACCCAACGGGCTCATCATATATAAAATTATATGCAAAATTTAATACTTATCTTGACATTTTTTACGGTTTATTATAAAAGTTGTATTGTAGCTTTAGCATCAAAGTACATTATTATTGAATTCAATACATTGTTATTGTATAGAGAGAGCGGGCGTAATGAAAATTATGATTAAAAATTGGGTTACAGATATTAAAAGTTTGAGAAGCATAAGTAAGGACTTCCATACTGGAGCAAAACTACAATTTCTAAAAATTTCACTTTATTTTCCGAGTTACGATTCAATGAAATAATAGCGGATGCTTCTTGTTGAACTTTCTTCAGTCTGCTATAATAAAATCGACTTCTAAATGATGTATTTCAAAAATCTTAGTTCAACCGCTGTATAGAAAACCTAGCTATATATAAACAAAATATTATTATTATTATGAAAATAATATCATAAAAGGAGAATGTTTTGAAAATGTGTCCTTCTTTCTTCATTTTTTGCCAAAAATTGCATTGAAATAACTTTTTCTTGTT